CGTGGCGGCTGCATCTGCCGCAGTGCATCCTCAGCAGCACGCAGTCGTCGTCTCACATCCTCCTCCCGGTCCACCACCGCCATCTGCTGGCGTGTCTGTGCCCGTGACCTATTGCCACTTCCTCGCGACTGTTTCGCGCCCGCCGATTTCGACTGCTGAGGCGATGGTGACGAGGGCGATTGTGAAGGCGTGAGCAGCGCCGCCACCACGCGTGCTTCCATATCGGCGCATCGCGGTATTGCCCACGTCATCACGGCTTCCTCCTTGTCGACGACAGCGGCAGATGTGGCAGCTCTGGCGTCTATGCGTTTGGCGGCGCTGTGCATCCGCAGCAGCTGGTCACGCAAGTTTGCAAAGGCGGGATGGGGCGCCGTCACGTGTCCAGTGGAAGCATCGGTACCGTGGTCGACAGCACTGCTACCGCCATCATCATCACCATCACCACTGCTTTCAGACGCGTTGCAATCGTCGCTGTAGTCGACGCTGCCACCAATCACACCGCCACTGACGCACGGCCGATGGTGGGACGATCCGAGTCGCGCCTTCATGTTGAGATCGTACGCGCGCGCAATGCGACGGCGCACATCCTGCACAAACGCAACCGCCTCAGCCTTCTTCCTCTCGCCGCTAGTGGCGGGGGTGTTGCTGCTGCTGCTGCTGCTGCTGCTGCTGTTGTTGTTGTTGTTGTTGTTGTTGTTGTTGTTGTTGTTGGTAGTGTCGTGAGCATCACTGCTTGGGGTGTCAAAGGCCTCCTGTAACCGCTGCAAAATGGTGATGAGCACATTGCGTCTCAAGTGCCAGCGTCGCTCGTTGGCCGCGTGCAGTCCAACCACCCGCGTACCTTCCACAGCATCATTTATTGTCATCGCCTTGTCACTGTTTCCGCTCGCCTCTATCTCCTCCAGAGCATCTTGGCGCTGCTGTTGGTGTTCGCTGCCGTGTGCGTGGTTGTCGTGGTACGGCAATGCGCGTGCCATCACAGCATCGTCATTATCATCATCATCATCATCATCACCAGCACCACCCTGACGATGGGGGTGCGTGCTCACGCCGGAGCCCGGGCGAATGCGTGCAAACGTCTTCTGTCGAACGGATGATTCGTCCACCTGGAAGGATAGGACACCGATGCGGCCCCCAATGCGCACGCGTGGTGCAATTGTCGTCAGGGCGGACTCAAGATCCACCAGCTCGTCGTTCACACACACGCGCAGCGCCTGCATCGTTCGCGTCGCAACGTTGATGTTCAATTGCGCTGACGGCGGTGCTGACGATGAGGAGGCGGCAGCTGATGCACTCGTGTTGTTGTTGTTGTTGTTGTTGTTGTTGTTGTTGTTGTTGTTGTTGTTGTTGTTGTTGTTGTTGTCATGATCGTTGCCTGCATGTGCTGGTTGCTTGCGTGCAAACACATCGGCCACCACTGCCACCAGCTGCCGTGTTGTGTGGATGTATTCGCCGGCTCGTGCTTTCGCAATGGCGTGCGCAATGTCCTGTGCATTCTTCTCATCGCTGACAAGGGGCGAGGGGAGGAGGGAATGGGCGAGAATGCGTGTGTGCATGTGTGTGAATGTGTGTGTGTGTGTGAATGTGTGTTTGTGAACTTGTGTGTTTGTGAACTTGTGTGTGTGTGTGAAGGTGTGTTTGTGAACTTGTGTGTGTGTGTGTGTGTGTGTGTGTGTGTGTGAAGTGTGTGTGAAGGTGTGTGTGT